AACTCTGTGAGTGTGGGTCACAGGGTCGGCCGTTTCCCTAGGCAGCCTCATGCACCAAAAACACACTAAGCAGCTCTAGTGCTCTCTAACTGATAGACAAGTAGGTAAGTTTCATTTAAAAAAATAAGTGAGTAGTGTTAGTGAATAAATCAAAGAGGAAATCACCCCTGGTGTTGGCATAGTTAAATGAGTTTAAGTAATTCAGGCAGATGATGTTATGTTCCCCATAGAATGTATTTACAAAATGGATTAGCTTCAAAGACTTTCCAATTGACTTTACATTGAGAAATTGTCACCCTTCTCTCTGCAGTTGCTGCAGTGAGCTTTGTCACTTGGGCCTTAAAATGTTCATATTAATCAGCTCTGTAAGATCCTGGTGTTTTTATTTCACCACTTTGTTTGTTCATAAATTCCTATTTGTAATATGGAGCTTGTCTATAAAATTCAACCCTGTGAACGCTATTGTGACCTTCATTTGAATGGAGCTGAAGGCTATGGAGGGATGTCACACTCCCTTAGTCCATATCTTATTACATTTATATCTTTATACAGTCATTATATTATTGCAAGTGGTGTTCCTCAAGGTTCTATCCTTGGACCAATAAAATTCCCAGTTTAAATGCTTTCCATGCTGATATCATGAAAGCTCAAATTGGTATTAAATAGCATTATATCTGAATAATGCTTTGATGATACATAACTGTACATTCTCCTTTGGCAGTTAGAAGTTGAATATCATGACTTGTACTCAGTTTTTCTCCTTTTTTGTCTGAGACTTACACCAAAGCAGTTCTCCCGTGAGATTTTTTTTTTTTTTAGCCGGATGCCCTCCCTTTTGCACCTCTCCAAATCATCATCATATTATTTAAACTCCAACTTTTAGCCAATAATAAAGGTGAGTTTTTGAAATGTAACCTTTCCCTTAGTCATTAAATGTGAACATAAACCAGTAAACCGGTAAACCACCAAAGCTGGCAGAAATTGTTAAGGAGGAATTCGTGAAAATAAAAAATCATTTGTCATAATTTCCCTCTTTAGACAGTTCTGGCCGAGCGTAGCATCGGCTTTAGTTTAGTTGTGGTGTGGTGCGGGCTGCAGTGACGTTCTCACCAAATCCAGACTCACCCAGGTCTTTGAGGTGGTCTCTGCACCGAAATTCTGCGCACAGGAGTGAACAGCCTGTCTGCATGATCTATGAGAGGGAGAGGACAGGGGGCTGGCACTGCACACCGGGAACTATCTACTGGGCTATGATTCATCAAATTCACACAGGGATCGCTACCAAATACTATCAGAAAAACTAGACGGTACAGTGACGGCTTCATTTACATGTCCAGAAAATATATTGTCAGATAACCAATAATTAGATCTGATCATTGCCATGCATTTACGTAAGGATCAAAAATGTGACAAAGATGTACATGTGTCAGTTCACTCACAAAATTCTAGAGTAACAGTGGTATGTGAAAGTCAAATCCAAATGAAATCTTTTACATTTTGTTTTTAATCTTACGCCATGCAAAATCAGTTTGGTTGATTTTTTTTTTTTTTTTTTTTTTTTTTTAGAAAAGTGCACGTACAGCAGGTGATGCCATTCACTATTTCCATCTGATTGCCATGTTTATTGTGATGTGAAGAAAACTATGAACAAAAACCAAAACCCATAAATCAAAGTGATAAAAAATCTACAGTTATACATTTTTGTAACTTTTGTGGTTTGCTGTAATAAATCCTTTTCCCTGTTTCTTTGTAATGAAATGTAAAGTAAAAAGTTCAAAGATGTGGTCTTTAATCTACTCCTGATCTTCATGTGAAATATTGTATGTGTTCGTTCTCATATAAAAGACGGCACAGAAAAAAATAAAATAAAATTAATGAAAACCTTTTCGTAAGGTCTTCACTAATACATAAATTCATTTTGAGTGATCACTTCCTTAGACAGCAAAACCCAACAACTCACATAGTCACCACATGTTTCTCTAGGCAACACCAAAACACTACCTCATCCTGGTGGTTTGTATCTCTGGCTGTCTGTCTGTGCCCATCCCAAACCCCTGTACCCTCTCTCCCCCCGGCCCTCTCTCCTCGTCCTGTCACTGCCTCTTTGCATTGATGCTGATAATTACTGCTGAATAGATCTCCACATTCCCATGAACATGAGGGGAGCCTTTGGCCTGCTCCTCTGCCACCCGCCCCCCCTCTCCTCTCCTCACCCACCTCCCTCCCTCTCCCACCTCCCTCTCCCTGGGCCGGCTTCCTGGGACACCCCTGCTTCAATGAGGATTAGCATGGGGAGGGAGGGAGGAAGCTCAGCGTGACATGATGAAACAGCTGAGCAGAGGTGGAAGGACGGCTCCGGATCTGTTCTAATGTAAAAGTAGCCTATAGAGTTAAGTCTTAATTAATACTTAATACATTACGCTGTATATTTTAAGTATGTAAGATTGTAAGCTTAATCAATAAATATAATAAATTAAATAGAATACTGTCTGTTGATTAGCTCTAACGGAGCTAATTATAGGAATGGAGCTAATTTAATCACAAATATAACTTTTAACACTCATTGCCTCAAGCATAAAAATCTGGTTTGCGGTGGCGACCACATTTTCAGTTGCTACAAAAAGGAAGGAAAACTATTAACTTACTGTTGCTGCTAGTACACTAAATAGGCTCGAGCATAATTTTTATTTCACAATTATTCTTTCTATCACTATAAAGTATAAAGTATTCTGCCTACGAATAATGCAATATTTAAGCATAAACAAGGATCATAAAGGAAGTCAGTGGATTAAATGTGAATTACATACAAAAGACTATACATTGTACAAGTGAACTTTCCTTAAAACCTACAGTGGTATTGAGTCATTGTTTTTTTTCATCTAATTAGAAATAATGGTCTGAAATGAGCTTATGGGCGTCCATACTGCAGAAGTTTGTGAAACCACTGGGGTTTGGCCCTGGGCTCTGTGTCAGCCTCACTTCAAATCATCCTCATTAAAAACTGTTCCGATGGGAAATGTCCATTTGTACTTGTGTGATTTTGAGTAATAAAAGTGTACACGGTCCTAGATGCAAACATATTATGCAAAGTGGTTTGTAAAAATGTGAGTACAGTTCCACTGGCATTGCCTTCTGTGGGAAAACTTGAATGAATGCAATGAATGAGAAACACCCCATTAGTGTGGTATAATCTGCAGATCTGGGAACACATGAATCAATTCTTAATAACTTTATATTTTATTTTTTATTAGAACATTTTATGGAAAATGACTGGTTTTATGCAAGTGTCTCATGCTATTATTGTTGCTGAACCTTGCCCATGACCTGCAGTTTTTAAGATTGGCTGTAGATATCGTATTTAATTAAGGTGTTCTCTGTCAGGGAAATATACATAAAAATGATTTCTTTGATCATGACAAGGAAAAAACACACATCCACCTCACCATATCACTTCCCAGCTTCTGTTTACGGAAAATACAACTCATTTCGGACAGCCAAGACTATCCTGCCAAGTCTTGCCCCTCTAGGTTTAAGAGAGGTCGCCCTAGCAACCTTGCATCCCAGAACAGGAAGGAGGGGGGCCTGGTTGTGCACTAGAGCTCGTAGTGATTGCAGGGTTAGGGGGAGAGGGGGGGTCCATGATGTCATCCTGAAGCACGGAGGGGGCCCAATCAAACCCTGAGAAAATTATGTCACCTTTTGTTGCGCCCGGTCCTTTCAGGTCTATAGAAGTGCAGTGAATTGAGCGCTGCCGAGAGGTCATTCCCCCCATTGCAAACTCCAGTGTGTGTGTATGTGTGAGAGAAAAGCGCGAGGAGAGCCGGAGGGGAGGCAGCAAGCAGGGAAGTGCATTGTGGACATGCTAATGCTGTTGACCGTGAGGACTCCCATAAAGATGTCATGAAACTTCCAAAACATTTGCACTAAGACTGCTCTCCCCCCCTTTTCACACCACGCTGACCCCCAAATCGGAGTCCTATGATACTTTGAAAACTTGTCAAAACGCTGAATAAATAGCCTAAACGCATCGCAATAGAGCTCAAGCCTAGTCCGCCTTTTGTTTTATCGGACAACAATACGCGAGCACTTGCAGAATAATTACCCCTTAGCAACTGCAGTATGCCCCAAACCAGCATTCACTTCCCAGCCCCCGCCAGGCCCTCGGAGCTGCCAAGGGCCAAAATGTACGAAAATTGACAGTGAACGACAACTGAATAGGGAAGTCAAGTCTACACTCATTCAGATTAATCAAGCACAATAGATACAGACATAGTGTATGTTGGAATGCATTTGTAGAGGCGGGAGCTACAGGGACTTTTTCTTACTGCAACAAAAAATCTTTAGAGTTGACATTGAAATATGCACACACAAATTACAATGGGAGCATTTGCAATATCCATGATGTTCATATACATCTTTTAGTGAGCCCAATCCCAGAATACACAACAAATCTGTATACACACAAAAAACGTTATCTAGAAAAAAATATTTAGATTGAAATATATATTCTGCAGGTTTCCACTTTTCCAGTGACATGCAGGGTGAGTAGCTATTTTAGGAAGAGTGGACATTTCAGCGCTGATTTTACTGATGTACTAATGTTCTCTTAATTTCTTGGTTTTGCAGATCAGTATCGTGTATAAAAAATAGTGTAGACATATATTGCTCATCAAAAAATAAAAAAAACATTTGTTGGCATAATAGTTTTCCCTCATAAAACTGCTGCATATTACTGTCTAAATATCACGTGGATTTCAGGACTAGCCCTATCAGTTTATCACATTCTGACTCATTGCAATTGAATAAATCATTATACTATATTTACATTGAAACAGTTTGTTTTCAGCAGTCTCTGTAGTGGACTAGCATACACATTACTTGTACAGTCTAGTATAAACAGGATAGGCTGGTAGAAGTACAGATTTGCTCACACCTAATTATCAGATAGGAATGTTAATTTGAAGCTTTATTTACAACAAACAAGCATACAGAGACTTGGACACTCTCTTTATTTATGTTAATGCATTTTCACAGACACAACAGAATTCATGCAGTACTCACAATATTAATCCATTTGCTGACAGACATTCAACAGTTGCTGATGCAAAGCCAAATTCTCATAATGAAATACATTTACTGTTCCCTGATTTGGGTTTATTAAAACTTGGTGACAATGATCTCTCTCGTAATGAAAACAAGTTCGAACAATGACATGAGTTTTACTGTAACTAAGATCCCATTTTCAAAAATACAAAACAATGCTTTAAAACTAGGCTACTTTGAGCAAAGAGCTATTTAATAAACTTAGATTTTTGTTAGGAAGTTAGGATGTTAAGATAAGGAAATCATTTAAGTCTAAAACAATATAAATATTTTAGGGAAAACTGAAAAAGTATTTTCACTTTGTAACTGCATCCTATTTAAGTTCATGGATACAGCTTTTTAGTTAGTAGCATTTCTTGTCCAAGATTTCGGCACATAATAACACAATATTTTCATTATTCAGTGTTATCCAAAATATGAATATTTATGTTACAGTTTGAAAAGAAAAACAGAAACAGAGTCAGTTTTATTTATAAACCATGTGTAGCCAGTGTTATACTTGTAAACATGCACAGGGACCATATGTTTCTTTGTCCAGTAAAATGAATCTTGTGTTGTCCAGAAAAGTTATAGAATGTTATAGAAATGTATCTTTAAGTCCATAGTGCTTGAGCTCTATCCTCCCGGTCAGATCGTGAGATGTCAGAGCTGCATCTGTAAGCCATCATGCCAGGCACCAACATCTGGATCTTCAGAGTCCAAACTTGATTTCAAATGCTCCTAAAACATAACACAAATAAATTAGTGAGTTAATGACACAATTTTGAAGTGAATGCATCTCATATGTATTTGAGTTAGGATGTCTTTAGAAAACAACAAAACACTGACAGTTTAAACATGAACGTGAGCTGGCACCAGGGAGCGCCGCCCATGGCCCTGTTCACAGCTGAAGGATCATGTAACAACTGGTGTAAACTTCAGCTGTTGGAAGCCTCTACAGTCCTGGAAAGAAACGAGTAGGCCAGCTACAATGCACTGGCACAGCGACTATCAAATGAGTCCAAGTTCCTCCGGATAAAATGCAGTCCTAGTTGATGTATATTGAATACTGTAAAGGCCATCACAAAGTCTGAGTTGAGATATGTTTGATTTTTATTTATTTATTTATTTTTTATTAAGATGTAGGAATTGGGCAGGTAAAACAATATTTATATAAGGCAGCACAAGCCAGCGTTTGCTCAGTGAATCCAGCCATTCACTATCAATTTGCAATAAACAAATGATCTGATGTCTGATGACACTGTACAGAATATGTGACAGATGGACATGCTGTTTGACTCCAGACTTAGATAAAGCCCTGTGCTGATCAGTGGAAAACATCTACAGTTTACCCAGGACACTGCTGGCAGAGGTAATGCAGGTAGGTGACCTGCCCGCTCACTGTATGTACGCCTCACACCCATCGTCATGGCGGTGAGTCAGGGCTATACCCTGCTCTTCACCCGGGGGAATAAAGAGACGTGTCATACAGGATAGTAATCCATCAGAGTTTCTCATCTGCGTTCTGCTTGTCTGCCTTTCTGGTTTACCTGTGGTGAGTCACGTTCCCTCAGTGAACAGGAAGTGCCAGGTCTTCAGCTGCACTGTTATTCTTTGACTAATCCTTCTTGTTTCATTAGCACATACAGTCTCTAAATCATCTTTCCCTTGGTTTACTTAGTTTTAGAGACCTTTCTCCTGATTTCCCATGATTCCTTGCTACACTGGAGCCAGGCCAGTCAGCAGCTTGAGTACACAGATTCAGGTTGAGGCTTGTGTGCGCCCTGGGCCTCTATCTCTGCCATGATCAGCACATCTACCTGTCTACTGGCACGCTGCCATCCACACACAGTTATTTACGCAGAGAGGCAGGTAAGGGCTAAGGCTTCAGCATCAACTGAAGAGGAATCCTCATGTTAAGGTCAAGCGTGTTTGACCTCATCTGGAACACCCACGACTGCCCAGGAGCGGGCCACGTACAGTAGGGCTCATTGACAGCATTGGCCGCCCTGCGCACTGCCATCAACGGGCCTCTTTGAAGGGCTCTCTCTGTGGTGGGCCATCAAAGCAGATCTTCATTCAGTTCCACTCAAAAGGTCCGTTTGAAGTCGTATCTCTGTGCCACTGCATTCTTTACCAAGCTGTCACGACTTGAGTTTCACTATTAAAAGAGAACGTAAGAACACGGGCAAAGGGCCAGTGCCGCCACCCCTATCACGTCTCACGGAGCTTAACCAACTATTCAGAAATCCACATTTGGCTTTGTTTTTTAGTCTAATAACTTTATCCTGATTTTAGGTGTGCCTGGGGTGACCAACGTTCTGCACATACTTTATCAATAGTTGACCTTTTATGTAATGTTTAGAAGTAGGTGCGTCAGTTCAAGCAGGCTGCTGAAATAGCTGTTAATATGAACTGCTGTTCTACCATTATTACGCTGATTTCAACCCAATAAAGCGCTCACTAAAAGCATTTTTGAGTGACGGCCAGACACATTTGGTGCTACTTGTGTGATCTAAATCATGCTGCATCTGATAACAATACAATTTGGGAGACACAAACGGAAACAGCTAATCTTATCTTAAAAAGAGCCACATAGCACAGCATGAGCCTATTATGAAGGGACATTAAAATGGGAATTCTTACCTATTAAGTGATTTTGGTTCAATCAGCATCTTTGCGGCGAAGGCAGGCCATCTGAAAAAGACAACACAAATATTGTAAATAACTCTTCAATAGCCACAGAGGTTGTCAAATGCTAAAGTCTGGATTTTGTCTGGAAGGGATTTTGTTAGAACAGCATGAGACATGCAGTCCTAAATTGCATCCTAGATGACGCCTCATTTAGTGACCTTTAAGGTGTACTGCATATCTGGTGGCGTGTATGCCAGGTGCTTGTTACCAGGCAAAGCTATAGATGAGATCTGTGAATAGGTGATCTCGCTCACAGTAAGTGGAATTAAACTAAATAGATAAGTTTAATACCATAAGGTAGAATTATCAAGACAAAGCAATAACATCTTTATGGAAACATGAGAATGGTGGACCCCAACCCGAAAAGCACCTTTAAGATAAATGAAATGAAGGTTCAGTGGGAGTTACATACCAGCACTGAGTATGTTGTCACTTTAAAAAAATCAAATAATATACTTGTAATGAAAAAGCCTTGTTGTAATTTGTTGCAGTGAATGTCCTTTATGACTCTTAAAATGTTGAGAAAAGTGCACTACTTGGTCTGTCTTTTAATGAGCAGATTATTAAAGGTTTTCAAATATCCTCACAGAACATTTAAAACAGCCAGGCTGGAGAAACAACACAGGCCAGTGCACTCTGCTTTATGTATATATAAGGTTTCAGTGGAGCTTTGGGGCACCTGGTAAACTGGGATAATGCTGACTTTTCCATTGTACCATTTCAAATGACTTGGACGCTGCACTTTCTACATGAGGTCAAGTAGTTCAGGTAGATATATTGGTAATAAACGCATGTGTTTCTTGATACAGACATCAGCTCAAGCTCTTTTAACCAATCACAGTCTAGGTGTGTTCAGAGATTTACACTTGTAACCGTGGCGACAAATGCACTTTTTCCAAATGAACTAAAGAGTGTTTTTTGGGGAGGTAGCATGCTCCAAGAGTTGAGGAGTAAAGCAGCAATAACAGGACAGCAGGGAGAGAAACTCAATCCAGGCAAATTGCTTCCCAGAGATTCTTGGAGGACATGGTAAAATGATTCTTTCTTTCCTCTCCCTTTTAAAATACCTTTCCCTGGCACAGTGCTCCATAGGTAGCCGTGCACCGGAGCAGTCTTGTGTTACGGTGTTTTTTTCTCTTTCAGGGGAGCATGCAAAGCTAAGTGGGTTGTCATGAAGTTATAGACCAGTGAGTGCCAAGAAGAATACATCTACCTATTCTGTTCCACGTCCAGCAAACTTCAGAATTACGAGTCTGCCTTTCCTTGGATCACTTTTAATAGATACTGGCTCAGGCAAACTGAAAACATCACACAATTACTGCAGTTTTGAAGATTCTCTGACCAACTAATAATCATCAATAGTATAATTACTTTCACATTTTCTATACACATTTTAACTTATTGGGAAGAACATTATCAAAAATGGACACCTACAGATAGATACTGAAATTAGTATTAATTCTAGATACTCATTTTAACAAGTATGCGTACAGAAAATACAACATAAATAGGACATTTGAGATTTCAGCTTTCCTGACTAGTATTGAAAATGGTATTGATAATGCCTGAAGAACATAGACCAACTATCATGTTATTTATTAAATTTAACAGGGCATGGTCGCCGTCAATCTGTCTGATTGGTGAACAAGCTGTTTAATTTTTCTATATTCTCATAATTAAGTGTGAAAAACTAAGTTCAGCTAAATTACAAGACATATACAAGCATGATGAAGTAGAAATGGTCCTCCTCCCATAGTTTGCAAACCCTTGAGCCAGATTGTGGCTGCGTGTGGCTAAGCTAAGCCATCAGATGAGGTAATGTTTTGAGAGTTGGCTAGCTTGGTCCTAGCTCAGTCCGGCCTTGATTAGCTCTGGGGTAGGGGTCTGTAATATTGGATACCCCTTTGTGTGGCGAGATTAGTGCCTTATGAAAAACTGCCCCTGCTGACACACCCATTGGGATCAGAGCTTCCTGACTGCTCGGTTGGTTCAAATACTCCTCTTGTGTGAAAAACTATAGCCCTCTCCACCTTCTGCTTGAGATGACTCCTACTGATGACCCTAATATTAAAAACAACTTGAGTTTCTGAATGACATGATACATAAATCCACCAACTCTTTCTCTCCCACTTATTTTACTCAAATCACATGAGGTAAAGTTAACAAGATAAAATAGGTGGGAAAATTAAGGCACAATACACTCAACTAATGAATGATTTGAATTAATCCTGAATATGCGCAATACAAACTGCAAGCAAGGGATTTTATTTGACTCACTAAAAGGAAAACTTCTCTGGTGCATTTTACAACATTTCAAATCCTTGTCAAATAAATAAATATCAAAAACGGTAGTAGTTGCATCTAATTTTTAAGATCATTAATAAATTATACTGCCTAAGTCTAGTCACACAAAAGTACATGGATGGTGGATGAAGTGTCTTGCTTTAAGACACAAACGCAGTTTGCAACAGAGTCACTGCTGCCCTACTGTGGCACCTGATATTCCCAGCAATCCCCCATCCAAGTACAAACCAGGGCTGGCCCTGCTTGGCTTCCAAGATCTGACGTGATTGGGATTTGACAAGCTGGTATGGCCACTTGACTTGCAAAACTACAAAACCTTCTATCTTATTTTAAAGATAACTCTGCAGGTATTACAACTTTTTGTGTTCAATGTCTAAATTGATATTAAAATTTTGCACATTACCCACAAAACTATTTCAACATCATGATGAATATAAATAGATAACTGATAGATAATGGATTATCTTTTCTAAGAAAACCTGTTTTAAACTTTAAGCCTGTCACCAAAATGACTATATCAATTCAATACATGAAAGCTAGAACATTATATTCTGGGGCTCAATATTTATCATCTTTGATTTTTTGTCATAATATGATAAGATTTGAGCTGCAGAGAGTTGAATAATAACTTTTATGGCTAAATAATGGTTCATTCTGTTAATTTGTTGCAGCTCTGGCCTTAGTACAGTATCTATTTAAAAACGGTTTATTAGGATAATCCTGCTTTATTTTTATTGTGCCAGAGACATTAAGTAGTTTAAATATTAAAGTTATATTTCTCTGTAGCGATACATATATCATGTTTTAAATGCCTACTAAACTTTGCAATGTGCTTTGAGATAGAAGTTAGAGGGGCATGCGAGCACCCATGCACAGAGGGACACTGGCACTAGCTTACGCCAGTGCTCCTTAAACCAGTCATGTGAAAAGACCTGCTCATTTCTGCAAATCTGATTACATCTGCGAGCCCGGACCTGAAAGACCACACATACAAACACACACACACACACACACACACATTGAACAACAGTGGTGGATGAAGTACTCAGTTTTGTTACTTAAGTAAAAGTACAGATACAGGGGCAAGTTACTCAATTAAAAGTAAATGTATCACATGAAAAAATCTAAGTAAAACTTAGATTAAGTAAAACTTTTAAAAATGTACTTAAAGAATAGAAACAAAAGTATTTTGCAGAGATTTTTTAGAACAATTAAAGGATGAAAAAAGTGATTTTAATAAAGAATTTAGCATATTTTAAGTGATTCAATTGATTTCTTAATTTTTCTAGCCATTTTTTGTGTATTTGGTTTGCTCAAGGTTGGGAAAGAAATATTAAATGTGCTAAAAAATCTCAGCTGGTCTCACACCAAAAAAGAAAAGTGCTTTTTACTTTTCAGTCCAGATCTAAAATGTAGTGGCGTAGAAAGTACAGATACACATTCTTAAATGCAATGAAGTAAAAGTAAAACGTATCCACTGTAAAATGCACTTAAGTAAAACACAGATGCCCACAATTTGTACTTAAGTATTGCACTTTTGTACTTTGTTAGTTTTCGCCACTGTTGAACAGATTGGAGGTCCACACAACACACATTTTAATCCCACTTTACCCCACAATCCCTACTGCTAAACAAAATAGAAATGTGAATACAATTTATGCTCATTTCAAGCATCCAGGGATTACTTTAAACTAAAATGAGATGATTTTTGGTTCTCTAAATGTAGTTGTGGTAGCGCTTTCTTTGAGCAGCATTTGGCAGTGCAAATGAGGAATGAGCACAAGTGGAAACATGTTTATAGCAAGATTAGCAGGAACGAAATGATACATGATTCGCAAATGATTCAAATCTTATTCAAGTTACCAAGCGCTATTAAAGAGGGGTAAAAAACAGTCTTTGCTGCTGAAATGGCTGTCATACAGCTACATGTGATAGGGTGTTTGTAATGATGAACAGTGACCGCAAGTCTCCACCAGTTTGCCACAACACACAGCTAATTCAATGCGCTCCTGGCATACTCTAGCTAACAACTAAATCTAATTCACTTTTGCAGCCTTTCCAATATATTCCCTCTTTCATGTTCAACAAATCAGATCGGAATCTCATAAGCCCGATCAGATCACACGCGATCCAAAATCCTAAGTATGTCCAGAAAACACATTCTGAATGGAGATATATTACCGCAGAAAATATTGCGATGAACAATAATATAGGAGACAACTTTATGCCACTTACACAAGAACACTAAAGCAGGATATTCACAGAAAACCCTTCCCTAAGTGAAAAATGTTGCAAATAAAATTAAATAGCACAGTGAAACAATTAAATTAAATTTTTCTGGTGCATCCAAGTTATTGCAGTCATTACGGTTGTTTTTATTGCACACACACACAAGAATCTTGAGAAATAGGCATTCTTACAGTGAACAGGGTCGCCAATCCAAAAATATGACCTATTACCTGAACTAGATGTATCACCTGCTTGTCTCAGATCAGTTAAATGTACCGTACCGAACATTCTAGACAAATGAATAAAGACAATGAAGCGATGAAGGCAAGCAACCCACCTGAAGAAAAGCTACATAATGCACCTTTAAAATAATCACCCATAACAAGTTCATAGACAGATATGAATTATTAAGCCCTCTACAGCTCAGGTGTAAATAAAATAACTAAATAAAGATATGGTACATTTTGTAA